GAAAAGAAGAAGAATAAAAAGGCTTGAAGCCCATCAAGATACAAAGACATTAAATGGGTCCGTTTTAGGAGAAACCCTAAGTCCCTAGGTTATTTTTGTAATCTATATAAACTCTTGTATGCCTCCATTATTCTTTAATCTAGTACAACACAATCTTCTCCACAATACTTTATTTTTTCTTCGTCATCATCATCATTGATTTTTTTTCATCCTATACTCCTGGTAATCTCATAATCTAGTTATTTAATTTAATATATTCTTTATTCATTTTTATTTAAAATGTTTAATTCAAATAGCCATTCAAATAAGAAGATTTATGTTTTAGTCCTTTTGGTATAAGTTAAATTCCACTTATAAAAAAAAAATGGATAAAATCGTATCAAAATGCAACAACCATTTTTAGAGACAAAGAACATTTAAATATTGAATCTAGATACTGCATCCGAATATTAAATTTAGATTCATTCAGAGTTCTTTTTAATGTATTTGGTGGGGAAACAAGTATAAAAATGTCATACTACTTTTTATTATAAAAATTCAATCGAACTTTATACGTCGAGGTTCGAAGAGCACTCTGTTCATATGGACATGACTCATGACGTTCAACTAGGAAAATGAATATTGGAATCACGTGAAGGACCATGTGACATCACCAATATTCTTTTGTTTAAATCATTATATAAAAAAATACTAAAAAAATACTATTTCTACTTTTTCTTTTTTTCTTTTTGAACATTTATTTCTACATTTTTGGAGGCAAATATCATAAGATAATGCGTCTATGTATATAAACTTTTTAATTACATTATGGAGCTCATCACTTTTGACCTGACCTTATTTTGACCTAAAGCTACCAAGAAATTACATATCTGATTATTTTTCTTTTGTACATCCTTTACAGATATATACGAATATAACAAAGACAATGTCGCAGTTGAATCAGTTTATTGGTGGCTTAGAAGATCACATTCAACATGTGCAAATAAGACACCAAGTGATCGACCTACCCCCTCAGATTCATTCATGCGCGACAATTTTCAATCAAAGTATAGGCTCACGATAATATATTTTTATTTTTTTGAACAAGCTCACGATAAGATATTGAAGAAAAAAGATTAAACTTAACATAACTCAAAATGAATAAACAGTTTCTTCTTCTTTTTCAAAAAAAAAAAAAAAATTTTCTTTTTTTCTTTTTAGGATTAGAAGCATGATCGTTCAAATTGGAATGGTATATACACTTTATTTTTTGTTAAATTTACTAGGAATGATCATAAATACACTTTTCAGACTATTATATATATAAAAATGGTCAAGAAATCCAATATATACTATGGATATAGTATAATTTTGTACTATTACTTCTTTTTGTTGATTAACCATTTTTTGGGAACTATACCACACAAATATGGTTACAATTTTTTTTTTAGTATATTAATTATATAAGAAAAAAAAAACAGAGCAATGGTCTTAAATTGATAGTAATATTTTATAAAAAAGAACAAGTGTCTAGGTACATTTGCAAAAACAGCCCTTAAATTATTGACTTTAGTCTATAAAAGC